AGCTTTGCGAGGTGGGCTCTCAATGTCAAGTGTGCGTGAGCGAACGACGCTTTCTTCCACGTGTTCCAGGACGTGTATGGACTCATTCACTGCGATATCGGCGGTGGGCTGACCACGTCGCCTAAGGCGGCGTCGCTTGGATTTCTTCTTGCGGCGTCTCGAACCGCTGCTCGAGGCAGAAGCCTCGCTATCGCTGGACGAGGGATCACCCCCCTCTAGACACGGAGGGGCACCATCAACCGTGTCGGTAGTGCGCGGGAGCTCTCGATGCTCGACCGCGCCATTGACAGGCGAGAGCCCCTGCTCGATCGCCGTCGTAGCCGGTGGGAGTGTCAACTGCTCGACCACCGCTGTGGATGACGGGAGCTCCAACTGCTTGACCGCCGAATCGCGTTGCGGGGAACCTCTGCTCAACCGCTAGAGTGTTTTGCGGGAACCCATGCTTAACCGCCTTGTTGTGTTGCGGGAACTCATGCTCGACCGCCGTGTTGCGTGACGGGAACTCATGCTCGACCGCCTGCTCGGATTGCGGGAGCCCCTGCTCTACCGCCAAAGTGTTAACAACCTCGCTTCGCAGCGAGGGGTTTTTGCGCAACAGCGCTGTGCAAAGACATACAGAGAGGCCATCGCTCGCTCTCTGCTCAACCTGCATTGTGGGCACCCGGTCCACGACCCTGACATGGGGCCAGTCCTTTCTGGGCAACCAGGAGGTGTGTGAACACCTCACTCACATCGAAGCCAGAGCGGTGTTTAACCGACCGAGCCAACCCAGTCAATCTCTGGTTGATATCGTGACAACCACGGGATACCCAAGATGCAGTCGAACGCGTAGTTCATCTCAATCACGAGGAAGTCGTCGTTGCTGCGGAAGCCGTCGAATGTGTATGGCAACGTGATTTCGCGCCGCGCAACGCGGCGTGGTGCGAATCGGCGAGCAACAACTCCCGCGCGTTCCTCAAAAAATGATGTCGTGAAGCTAGAGACGTCTACCTCGGTGAAGGAGCGAATCGCCTCCCGCCAAACCGGTGGTTTCGCGAGGTCGACATCGCGATTGGTTCGAGAATGATCGAAGCGCAAGGGACAAAGGTCAATTTCTTATTGTCCCGGTTGTCCGGGAAGGCCAAGGAATGGGCCCTCGGTAAACTTGTCGTTGATCACGACGCATTCCCCACTCTGTAGTCTCTCCAGAAAGATCTCAGGCTCGCGTTCGAGCCACCTCAAGACGAATCCCGCGTGCGTGCCGAGTTTTTCGCCCTTCGTCAAGGCAAAATGACTATGCGCGACTACGTTCAAAAGACTCGCCACCTCGCGTCATGCATCGTGACAAATCCGATTGACGCAGCATCGCAGGTCCATGTATTCGTATTCGGCATGCGTGAAGGCATGACACGGTACTACCTGACCCGAGCGGAACCTTCCTCTCTCGAGGAAGCATTCGCCCTCGCGTTACGCGAAGACTACGTTGTGGCGGCGTCTTACGCGCGCGCGATGTCAACGGCAGCTCGTGAGTCAGCCCCCGAGCCCATGGAGATCGACGCGATTGACGCATCGAATATTCATCGTCAGTCGACTCCTCGTGGGCCCAACGGCCGTCCTAATCGCCCGCTCACTTGCTTCCGCTGCCGGAAGATCGGTCATCGCGCGGCGGAATGCCGCGCGCCAGCGCCGGTACTCGCGCACACCGCTGAAGTCTCACCTGCCGTTCAGTCAAAAAACGGTCAGGGCCAGTAGGTGCGGGGCGCCCTACTGGCTGGAATGAAGGTCCGGGCCCCCCGGTGGCTACCCAACCTTCTAGCCCTCCTGTGCTCCACGCACACTTTAATGCCACCACCACGTCTGTCGACTCGAGGCTGATCATCGTCAGTCTTCATGTCGCCGGCGCCCGGCGACCACTTCGCGCACTCCTGGACTCAGGAGCGTCGAATAACTTCTTTCGCGAATCGTGCTTATCGATGCTTCCAAGAGAGATCGCAGTCCGTAATGGTCGAGGTCAGGTCGTCGTCAAACTTGCTGACGGAAAGCCACGCCGCGTTGCGTGGCGCGAGATCACGTTGCCGTACACATTCGACGGCTTCCGCAGCAACGACGACTTCCTCGTATATATAACTATTGTCATGATTGGATCAATTTATAAACTCGTTTGTAGTCAAAGTGAAATGTGCTACATTGGCTCTACTTTTAACATACTAAAACATCGTATGATTGGACATCGGTCTCAATATAAACGATGGGATGAGGGCAACACAACAAGCGTATGTGCACTCTATCCATACTCTCGAAAGTATGGTCCATACGAATTCAAGATTATGTTGATCAAGCAGTATGATGTCGCAGATAGGCATCAGCTGCACGCTTATGAAACTCTATGGATCAATAATTTCGAGAAAACTCGCGTGAATAGGGCTCCTCCGTTTGCACCACTGAAGCAGCGTATGCAGAAAGAGACTGTGAAGAGGTATTGGAGAGCCTATAGAGAAGAGATATATGAAAAACACGAGCTATACAACGAGCTTCATAGAGACAGACGTTGTTGAGAGTGATATCTGTGAGTGCGGCGGGTCATTTATCAATATAGAGGCAGATCGTATCATCTTCATATCTCAAAAGCATATCAGATGGGTGGAAGCTCACATGAGCGGTGAGTTTCCAAAGATTTTTTTTTCATAACATCGCATCTTTTAAAAAAAAGGGGGGA